ATATATATATATATATGTGTTGTTCCACGTTAGTTGGGAGGAGAACAAACTACCCTTTTAAAGGGTGTGGAAACCTTCTGTGTTTTAAAACAATATTTACAGCAGTGGGTCTGCGTCGTTACAATATGCTTGGAATTTATGCAATTTTTTTTATTTACTTAGTGAACAAAGGAAGATTCTACGGGAGAGAAACTCCTTAACAATTTCCTCTTTTTAATAATATATGTTGACTAGAAAATTAAATAATATAATTATTATAAACAGGTCAGAACACTCATATATTTTTTTCACACTTAATATTATTTGTGGGGTGAAGTCTAATTTAATATTATTTGTGGGGAGAAAAAATGAAAATCACATTTTAAAAAAGAAAAAACATCATAAAAATGATGGAATTTAAAAAAAGAATACAAAAAAAAGATGGTAAATGTGAAGGCAAAATTCATATATAACTAAAACATAGAAATGTCATGTCACGAGGTTGTCAATTACTATTATTTTAAAAGTATATATTCTCGACCCTACTCAATCCCCGACCCTATCCCAATCCCCGCTAAATAAATAAATCATTTTTAAAATATTAATATTATATTATATGTTTTTTTATAAAATATTATTAGATTTATTATGACATTTTATATTTTTAATATAAATTATATTAGAAAATTGAAAATTAAAATAGAGATAACTATTAGGAGAAGGTCACCTTTTGCAATAGTTTTTATAACCTACTTTATAAATAATAAATAATAGGTTAAAATAACATTTTAGCCCTTATAATTTAAACTCATTTAATTTTAATTACTTTCAAATTTCAATTTTAGTTATAACACTTTTAATAAATTTTAAATTTAATCTATAGCATGAGAATTGTTAATATTATTATGTAACAAATTTTAATAAAAATTAATTTTAAGAGATATCTCACCTCATTTGGCCATGAATTTCCTTAAGAAATTACCATGCAAAATAAAAATAAAAATAAAAATAAAAATAATAAAAAAAATTAATAAAGTTTATTTTTTCTCATGCAAGGGAAGCTTCTGTGATTGCAACTTTTCTAAGTTCATCTTCAACTTCGACAAGAAGTTAGAAACCAACGGTACGGTCAAAATTTGCTATAAATTCGTGCCCATTTCTTCCTCCAAAGGCCACAACTCATCCAAGAATCTGTACTCTTAGTGCACTCACTCACCCTTTCTTCTTTGCTAGTTTCTTCTTCTTCTTCTTCTTCTTCTTCTTCTAATGGCCAACTCTGAATTCTTCTGCTCCTCACCTCTCTACCAACCCGATTCCGTTCCTCAATCAAAATCATTTTCCTCCGTTTCGCCCTCCGACTACTGGAACAAGGCTGCGAACGCTCTCAGCCACACCCATCTCGAGGAGGTTTGTCGTATGCTATCGGAGTTTCAAGACACTCGAGCTGTTGACATTGAAGGTGCCACCCTTACAGTCGCTCAAGTCACTGCCATTGCTCGTCGTAGCAATGTCAAAGTCAACTTGAATGAAGCTGTGGCTCATGATCGTGTGGCCAAAAGTGCAACATGGGTTGCTGAGAAAATCTCTAGTGGAACTGATATCTATGGAGTTACCACTGGCTTTGGTTCGACTTCTCACCGGCGTACGACCAAAGCGGCCGACCTCCAAACAGAACTCATTAGGTTCCTCAATGCTGGAGTTATTGGAAAGGATAATCTTCCATCTGGATACTCAAAGGCAGCCATGCTTGTTAGAACGAACACATTGATGCAAGGCTACTCGGGCATTCGTTGGGAAATTCTTGAAGCTGTGGTGAAGCTCATGAATGAGAATTTGGTACCTAAATTGCCTTTGAGAGGGACAATCACAGCTTCTGGAGATCTTGTTCCATTGTCTTATATTGCTGGTGTTATCACTGGAAGGCATAATTCCAAGGTTACCACCATTGAAGGGGATGAGATCACTGCCATGGAAGCTCTCAACAGAGCTGGAATTGCAGGCCCATTTGAGCTTCAAGCAAAGGAAGGCTTAGCTCTTGTCAACGGAACCGCTGTCGGGTCGGCCGTGGCCGCCACTGTTTGCTACGACGCCAATATTTTAGCTCTTTTAGCCGTCGTTCTCTCTGCTTTGTTCTGTGAAGCCATGCTCGGGAAGCCAGAATTTGCAGACCCATTGACTCATAAACTCAAGCATCACCCTGGCCAGATTGAGTCCGCAGCAGCCATGGAGTTTCTCTTGAACCAAAGCGACTTCATGAAAGAAGCAAAAATCCGCCATGAGAACAACCCATTAACTAAGCCAAAACAAGATCGCTATGCACTTCGAACTTCCCCACAATGGCTTGGACCTCAAATCGAAGTCATTCGAATGGCAACCCATTCGATTGAAAGGGAGATCAACTCTGTGAATGATAATCCATTGATCGATGTCAGCCGGAATCTGGCTCTGCACGGAGGAAACTTTCAAGGGACCCCAATCGGAGTTTCCATGGATAATCTCCGAATCGCCATCGCTGCAATTGGTAAGCTAATGTTCGCCCAATTCTCCGAACTCGTCTGTGATCATTTCAACAATGGATTGCCGTCTAATTTGAGCGGTGGGCCAAACCCTAGCTTGGATTACGGCTTCAAAGGTGCGGAAATCGCCATGGCTGCTTATTGCTCCGAGCTCCAATACTTAGCAAACCCTGTCACAACTCATGTCCAGAGTGCAGAACAACACAATCAAGATGTAAACTCTCTAGGTCTAATTTCCGCCAGAAAATCCGCCGAAGCCATCGAGATTCTCAAGCTCATGTCCGCCACATACATGGTGGCGCTCTGCCAGGCAATCGATTTAAGACAACAAGAAGAAAATATGAGGGAAGTTGTCAGAAATGCAGTTCTACAAACAATCAGAAGAACACTATACGTCACAGACTACGGATCTCTCACCGAATCGCGATTCTGCGAGAAAGATCTATTGCAAGTAATCGATCGCGAACCAGTTTTCTCCTACATCGATGATCCTACGAACACCTCATACGCCCTAATGCCAAAATTACTGGAAGTTCTAGTCCAAAGAGCGCTGAAAGGGATTGCAACAGCCAAAAACGAGAACGGAAACGAAACAGGCGTTGCAATTTTCAAGCAAATCCCGGGGTTTCTTGAGGAATTAAAGGAGAAATTGGAAAACGATGTGGAAACTGCGAGGGGGAGATTTGAGAATGGTGAATTCTTAGTGGAAAATAGAATCAAGAAATGCAGCACTTACCCGATCTATCGCTTTGTGAGGACTGAAGTTGGTACTCAGCTGCTCAGTGGAGCGAAGAAGGTGAGCCCTGGAGAAGATATTGAGAAAGTGGTGGACGCCATTAATGAAGGGAAGCTTGGAAACGTTGTGCTTGAGTGCTTGAAGAATTAGGGCAATTGTGATTTGGTTTGTTCCCAATTTTATGTTTAGTTCTTATGGCTTTCATTTTGATATTTGTAACAAGTTCGTTGTAATATAGTGTTTATTGGTCAACAAGTTACGGGTCAATCCGAACAGATAAAGATTGTTAACTTATTGGTCATAGGTTATATCAACTAGGGTGTATACCGAACTAAAAATTCAACCTTATCAACTGAACTCGAATCACTAATGTTGAGTTGAGTTTTTAAGTTCAAAAGAAAAGATCCGGGTCAAACCGAATCGAACCGAGTATTATAAAGAGATACTATATATATACACATATATACTCTTAGCTTCAACCTTCCATTTTAGGGTTTACTTCTGATTCTTTTCGCAACGCTGTCACCGCTCCCATATTGTCGAGCTTGCACCACCGTATCGCAGGCCCATGCCACACCATTGGCACGATTGTATTGCTCACAGCTGCACATTGTTTGTGTGATGTCCCACATTGATTAGGGAGGAGAACAAAACACCATTTATAAGGGTGTAGAAACCTTCTCCTAGCAGACGCATTTTAAATCTTTGAGGGGAAGCCTAAAAAGGACAATATCTGCTAGCGGTGGATCTGGGTCGTTACAGTTTGGTTTACGATCGCATGTTATGACTCCCAATCCCACTTATTTGCACACCGTTAAATTCCACGTGGAGAATTTTGATTGATTGTGTTCTAAATAATTTAGAATGAAAATTTATAGTTTTTTTTTTTGAAGTATTTATATATTTTGCATAATAGGATTCAATATTTAAATTAAAATATTAACAATATCGGTTTAGTTTTAGTTAATAATTATATATCACAAACGGTTGAAATATATTTAAGGCAAAAAAACCAAATATATTTAAATAGAGCTCTAGCTTTTGTTCTCCTACTGCCACGTAGGAACTACGTGGCATGCAATGAGTGCATGAAAGATTGTGAACGACATCTATGTCTAAATCTGACACGTGTCCCATTGTATAACTTATGACCAATCAGAAAACACTTACGTCATCAATGAAGCCACTTGGTGCTCATTCGTGAAACATCACATCAAGCTTACCTTTATTATCAAATATTTTATTTTATAATATCAATATTTTAATCTATGTTATAAAAACGGGTAACAAAATATAATATAAATAAATAAACATATTAAATTAATAATAAAATGTAAAATAAATTAAGTTTAGATTTTTTTTAATAAGTATCTAACTTAAATTATACGATTAATTAATTTTTAAAAAATAAAAATTAGAACTGATTCGCAGTTGTCATTTTTTAGTTAGATCAACCTAAATCAACTCGAAAATAGAATTCAACTAACTCTACTTTTAAAATTAATATAAAAATGAAAAATATTTGATATTTGTAACTGAAACCATGTTTTAATTATTGTATTTATGTAAATATAATTTCGTTGAACAAATAAATTATATTAAAATCATAAATTTTCAACTTCTATTTAAATCAGGGGTTTATTTAGGTTGTATTGTTATTTATTGTTATAAGTTTTATTTTTATTTATTTGATCATTTCATTTAATAAATGCATAAATTAGTTCATGAGGAAAGGTATAAAATCTTGTATGATTTTAATTGTGTTCCAATTGATTGCCGATTGGTAGGTTCTAGAAATGTGAAAAATAGGATTCACGGGTTCTTCAATCTATAACGCAATGTATATATTCTTTTTAATTCGGAATTCAGGGATATTAATTTAAGAAATCACACGAAGATCTTTGTCGAAGTAGTTTTTCTTTTGGATTGCATTTGAAATCTGAGCAAAATAGTTTTGGACAGCAATCGAGGGCTGGCCTTCTTCCTGTTAGAGATTACATTCCTTCTATACCATTCTGCAAATTCGTCTTTCCGATTCTTTGTTTCTGAAATCTCTGTATGGTAGAAAAAATGGCGCAGAACGAACATATCTTGGAGTATACAGATGGAGACTCGTATCAACAGGTTAGGCAGGCGCTGAAGGAACGATCCAAGGTGTGCTGATTTGTTTTTGTTTTTCTTTGCCTTCACTTTTTACAATTTGTCGATGCTGTTTTCTGATGATTTACATTCGGATTTTTTGCGTTTTTGGTTTGTGAACGATTCGATTCGCAGAAAATGGCGCAAACGAAGGAGATGCTATCGAAACAAGCTGTTCAGACGAAAGAGATCATATCCAAACAGGCGGTTAAGATCGCTAAGCAGGCCGAAGAACACGAAAGATTCATTAACAAGGTTTGACTCTCACTGTATTGCCGAACCGATTCAATAGTACTGTTTTGATGTTATTGAATTTCGATTTACCGCCATCGCGAGAATGATTCGTTTCTAATCGCTTCGATTCTGTTTCTTCTAGAATCTGACTTTCCGCGCGTTTTTCTACTTATTTTTAGGTCACGCACCTGCTCGGAGTTCTTGGTTTCGGAGGATTTTGCTTCCTGTTAGGAGCGAGTGAGTAACATGATCTGAATCAATAGATTGCGATGCCTTTATCTCTTGCAAGATTGATGTTTTTCCTTCAATTTTTTTGGTTATTTTTCTGATCAGGACCTCAGGATATTCCATATGTATATTGTTTTTTTTATGTTACCTTTGTCCCTCTTCGTTGGATATACTATCGGTTCAAGAAATGGCACTACTACCTCTTGGTAAGCATTGAATCTTTTGTTTTTTTGTTTTTTTGTTTTTTTTTTTTTTTTTCATTTCCCCTCTTTTTCTCTTCCATGGAAGTTGTAAACGTTCTTTTTAGACAATATGAAATCATGGTCTAGTTGACACTTCAGATACTTTTAATCGGATAGTCGCTGGATAAGTGTTATTTTCTTGGATATAGTTTAGAAGCTTGGGTTCTAGCAACCATAGAAGGAGATAGATCATTTAGTTGGCTTTCAAACATGTGCTTGATTCAGACAGTTATGACCCTCATCCAGAAGATGTCATCGACCTGAATCGTGTGGATGGAAAGGAGACGTGTGAGATCCCACATCAGTTGGAGAGGGGAACGAAACATTCTTCATAAGAGTGTGGAAACCTCTACCTAGCAGACGTGTTTTAAAACCATGAGATTGAAGGTGATACGTAACGGGCGAAAGTGGACAATATCTGTTAGTGGTGGGTTTTGGATATCAAAGTCAGAGGCAGTGTGCTAGCGAGGACGCTGGGCCCCTAAGGGGGTGGATTGTGATATCCCACGTCAGTTGGAGAGGGGAACGAAGAGCAAACACCTTTTAAAACCGTGAGGCTGACGACGATATGTAACAAGCCAAAGCAGACAATATCTACTAGCAGTGGGCTTGGGCTGTTACAAGATGTTTAAAAGTTTAGTGGATTAGGATGTTTAAATGTGATTTGGGTAAAGTAACTACAGCAGCATGTTTGGTGGAGTTATGAAGAAGCATGCCTACGTGGTTGGGTTTAATGGAGGAAACGGGTTGGTGATTTCCGAGCTCGAGAATTGGAGTTGGTCAATTTTCAAATCTCTAGGTTATATTGTTTGCTAATAGATGAATGTCAATTAGAAACTCTTCTTTGGCTTTTCACTTCTGATAGGATGTTTCCTTTGATCACACCCTTTAATAGGATTCCAATGTACCTAAAGTTCATTTGCTTGAATGGCTACTATCATTTTGATTGTATATCATCAAGAAGCCCCTCATGTTAAGGAGCTAACATATTTATGTTCCTGATTCAGGATTTTTGCTATTATGCAAACACGATTTTCATTGTTGATCTTCTTCTATATCCAAAAAATGAAAAACTTTTCATGATTTGCTTCGCATTTGCAGAGGTTAGTATTACACTGTTCTGTAACCTGACTGGAAATTTAATTCACTTACCTCCATTTTGACATTTTAACTATTGCTGTAGGGACCATTAGCATGGGCGATCATTGTTTGGCGTTGTAGCTTGGTTTTTAGTTCTTTTGATAAAATAGTCAGTGTTCTTATACATCTAATTCCTGGTGAGTATGTTCTTCCTTTCTTCTAACATATCTAGCGGAAGTTACCTGGAAAGAAAAACTAATTAAAAGGTTCCTTTGCTTGCTTATAAAACGGAGTAATTTGCTTCAAGGTGGTCTGTATATGAACAGATACCAACGAAAATAATTATGTCGGTCGTCAAAGCTCTGTCCAATCTTTTGCTCACTCTGATATGCCTGCTTCTGTCAGCTTTTGAAAAAAATATTTTCGATTGATGAAACAAATGTAATTTACATTCATGATTTAATTTCTTTTCAGACTTTAGAACATAGTTTCATGAATTAGGCAATAATTGAGCATAAGCCTTGGTACTTGATAGTTGAAAGTTATGTTTCCAATGCTGTGAAGGATCCATTTATTGCACGAATATTCGAGAATTTCAAAGTTATAATCACCAACAACAGAGATTGTGCTCTGTTTGTAGTATATCATTTAATGATGTAGCCCTTGTTTAATAACAATTCCTTTTCTTTTAGTTTGGTGTAGGATGTTGTAATTGACCATTGAACTCGCAAGTCAATATTTCTGATTCTTATGGTATTATTACTTAATGATATACTCGACGTTGCTCTTCCAGGTTTGGTTTTCTTCACCATTAGATGGTGGAACGAGGCTACATTTAAAGCCATGCATCCTGAAAAAACTTCCCCCAGAGCTTCATGGCCCTATGTAGAGGACAAGTCATATTTATGGACATGGCTGTTTGTAGTTCCTTTGGTTGCTTATACTCTCTGGCAGATTCTTTACTTTCTGATTGTCAACGTGTTGCGTCGTCAAAGGTTCTTACGAGATCCCGAAGTCATGACTTCATACAGGTCCTCCCTGTGTGACCAAAAATCAATTAAACTGCTAGCCAAAGCATTTGCATTTGTGTTGAGTCATGCTGATACCCTCTTTCTATGGTTTTTCAGGGAACTGTCCAAAAGGGCACAGAAAACAAACAATGTATGGTGGAAATTAAGTGGTTTGCTTGGAGATCAGAATCGTCTGTTCATGTACATTTTGTTCCAGGGAATATTTACAGTATTGACGATGGCATTGGCTGTTCCAATCTTCTTGTCGTATCGGTTGCACGTTGTTTTCCAGCTGCTAAAGGTTTCAGCCGCCGTCTGGAATGGAGGAAGCTTTTTGTTAGAGGTCATGCCAAGGCAGGTGATTCTGAAGGAGAAGAAGAAAACAGAAACACAGCCACTTCAAGACGATCAAAATCATCTCCCAGTTCCTGCAGCAGACGAAATCGTCACCGACACTGCTTCAAGGCAAACCTTGCAGTCTTAGTTGCCATTTTGCTCACACGGGTTTTTGCTTACTGGTACGAGTTCGATCTTTCTCTCAAACATACATATACACATATATATCAATGTTGATCCAAGACTGTTGTAAGTTCTGTATTTACAAGCTTTTTCATAATCAGCTGCTATATCAGTGATCAAGTAGTTGTTTTTCATTTGTGTTTCCATCTCATAGACATTGGAGAATGGCTGTGAAGAATAGATACTTTAAACGTTTAAGATTTTTGTATTTACTTCATTTGTTTAATCCACACGCATCACAAACAGTGGTAAGGTTTGGACATGTTATACCTTTTGATTAATGAGAATATTACTGCTTCCTTTTCTTCGGGTCATAGTTCTTAGATTTACCTTGCCAGCCTTTTTGTTCTAGGTGCCTAAAAGTACTTAGCCATATGGGCAACAAGATCACAAAAAACTGTACCAAAAGCCCCAAAAAAGAGAAAAAAAAATGCAATCAAGAGGATATATTAACGTTTTTGTTCCTATTTCTTGAAAGAATGAAAAATTACACCGAGTTAAATACAAATTTCTTCCACAAACTAACCCAAAAAAGAGGCCTAAAAACCAGCCCTACACCCAAACCAAACGAATCAAGGACCACTGCAATGGTGATCATTTTCTGGACTTGTGTTCGCTTCATGGCTTCTCAACGAAGACCCTCTCAGCGTTGAAATAACACGAGAGGCGAAATAAATTCATCCTATACGACCATCTGAACTCAGTCGCTAGATGGATGGAATTTAATAGAACTATACACATGGAATGGTGACAAACAATGAGTATATGCACATAGACTTGCTAGTGCAGACAAGATTTTCACCCTGATAAACCATGATCATGAACACAAAGGCGTCACTCTGCACGTTGAAGCAAAAACCCGAACCCGGAGTTTTCTCGTATCAGCGGTGGAGGATCAATGTCTGTTACGTCTACTTGGTTCATTGATTTGGAAATATCATCCACAGAAAATGGGATACTGCACCAACAAGAAAAAGATCAGACCATACAGATTGAATAGCAATAGCAATTTGAATGAAGATTGTACCTCGAATCATCATCTAACAGGAATGAGCTAATAGCATTGTTGGAGTTTTCAGTCATCAAAATTCGCATACTCAAAATAACCTGCACTACAAAGAGCGGTATCAGAATAAGGAGAATCCGAGGTACAGCGACCCGAGAAACGACTAAACAGAACAGTAGTTCCCAAGCTAAGAGAAAACCGATTCCATCAAGTTAACGTACTTCCGAAGATACACTATGCGTGCCATATTTGTCATCCCAGTACATTGTACTAATCCTATATAACTGTTGTATGCTAAGCACCTGAAGAACAGTGTATAAAAACATGAAAATATGTAAGAACACTAAATCAAAGGCTGAAATCATTTGAAAAACAAGAGATTAAGAAGGAATCACTAACAGGACACAGATCTTTTGTTATCTCATTCAAGGTCTTTTTGGGTTTTTGATGAATAACCTAAGAAGGAACAGAGCCCAAATCATAAACAAGTTAGCCAAAATCATAGATTACTGAAGAACTAAGCTCATTTAAATGATCTTACAAGGAATCCAACAGCCTGCCTAATATGCTTCAGTTCATCCCAGGCAGACCCAGCATACTGTACAGGAGAAGATCATTAGAAAGAACACATAAATTATATCAACGGAATCGATTCACTTTGTGTATACGGATCGTACTTCCTCTGTTGCTTCCGAGCACCACTGTTCTAATTCAGACAACCCAGCTTTCACATACTCTCCGTTGCTGAACGAACAACACTCACGCCGCAAAAGAAGGCTGCAAATCAAATCAAATCGAACGCCTTAAAGTGAAAAAAAAGAAAATTTTGACATCTGCCCAGCAAGATACTCAATGCAATTACGTTACCTGTTAAATAGTTGAACGTTAATGAACGCAAATATCTGAGTGAAAACTTTGCGGACGAGGAACGGAGGTACCTATCAAAACCGGGCATAAGATCGTGGTTGTAGTTGCTATATAGATGATGAATTGTTAGTATATGATGCTAAACTCGAGACTCACGTAGTTTGCTTTCATGATCTTCAAGCAATTGTTTAAACTTTTCACAATGCTTTGCCAATATGCAATTAAGGCTTGTTGAGCCATAGCATTAGCTTGGGAACGTCCTTTCACTAGGCTTGCCCTTGATGTCCTTGGAGCCTGCATTGAATTGAATGTAGCTACTTAATTCTCACTATTTTAGGAAGAAAATCTCATCATTGAAGCATATAACATCACGTCAAATAATGATTACAATAATAAATGGAGCGATGCTCGTTAACAAAATGATCTGACAGTAGTTTTGTAATAGTCCAAGCCAACCACTAGCAGATATTGTCCACTTTGACCCGTTATGTTTGGCCGTCAGCCTCACGGTTTTAAAACGCGTCTACTAGAGAGAGGTTCCCACACCCTTATAAGAAATGTTTCGTTCCCTCTCCAATCGACGTGGGATCTCACAACTCACCCCCTTAGGGGCCCAGCGTCCTCATTGGCACACCGTCCGGTACCTAGCTCTAATACCATGTGTAACAACCCAAGCCCACCGCTAGGAGATATTGTCGATTTTGGCCCTTTACGTATCGCCGTCAGCCTCACGACAAACGCATCTACTATGGAGAGGATCTAGCTCTACTCCAACCAGTGCCTCGCACCATCCAGTGACTAGCTCTGATACCATTTGTAACAGCCCAAACGCACCGCTAGTAGATATTGTCCACTTTGGCCTGTTACACATCACCGTCTACTGGGGAGAGGTTTCCACACTCTTATAAGAAATGTTTCGTTCTCTCCAATCGATGTGGGATCTCACAATCCACCCCCCGCCCCCCCTTGGAAAACCAGCGTCCTAGCTGACACACTGCCCGAAACTCGACTCTAATATCATTTGTAACAATCCAAGCCCACCGCTAGTAGATATTGTCCGTTTTGGCCCGTTACGTATCGTCGTCAACCTCACGGTTTTAAAACGCAACTACTATGGAGAGGATCTAGTCTTGCTTTAATACCATTTGTAACAACCCAAACTCACTGCTAGCCGCTATTGTTCACTTTGGCCCGTTATGTATCGCTATCAGCCTCACGGTTTTAAAACGCATTTACTAGGGAGAGGTTTCCACACCCTAAACGAAACGTTTCAATCTCCTCTCCAACTGAGGTGGGATCTCACAAGTTTCTTTATCATTCTATAAACACTTAGAAGGATGGTAAGATTTGAGAACTACCTGAATACATAATCCAAGTAAAGGCGAGATCTCTTTCTTTATATTATCTCTTATCATTCCATATATTTTCTCCAAAAACGCCGTAAGCTGCTGCTTAAACAACAGTGCTGGATACTTCGCCTCAACCTGTCGAAAATCGTCCACTCGACCCAGCCCCCGACCATTAAGAAACGATAGTCCAGCACTTTGCGGAGATCCCCTTAATCCCTGCAATGTGAAGATCGGAAACGAGCGTCGATTAAGAAGAAATAACAAAAAATATAAAGGCCTGAAAGAACGTCGAAACGTGTCGTACATGAGACATCCTTCCGAAAAGAGAAGCTGTAGAAGTTCTTCTCCTTTGAGGAGTCAAGCTAGCAGCTCCACTAGCTTTCAGTGTATGTTGAAGGAGCAACAATAATGTGGATGTATTAGATAACCAATAAGTTAATACATCATTGTTATCCTGGACCTTCAGTAGAGTTAAAGCCACAAGTGTTAATAATATGTAGATGAATTCACCAGACAAGCACTACAGAATTGTTTCAGAAGCAAACGTTGCATATAACCTCTATCGACGAAGCTATTGTTTGAATGAGTCGATCGAATATGCTCGTTCGTTCGACTTCGAACGACCTCCAGTGAAGAAGACATTTGTATATGACACAAGCTGCTACTGGTTTGCCTCCAGAAAAGCCCAAGTCTTTTGATATGCACTTTACTAGAAGGTCCTGGTTCTCCTGAACATCATAATGCATAAAAAAGACGGAACTAATTACTCTCGAACACGAAGGAGAATCAACTTTTCATAAATGTAACAGTCCAAGCCCACCGCTAGTAGATGTTATCCTCTTTGGGTTTTCCCCTTCGGGCTTCCCCTCAAGGTTTTTAAAACGTGTCTGCTAGGGAGAGGTTTTCACACCCTTATAAGGAATGTTTCGTTCTCCTCTCCAACTGATGTGAGATCTCACTATTTACCCCCTTGAGGGTCCAACGTCCTCGCTAGCACACTGCTCGGTGTCTGACTCTAATACCATTTATAACAGCTCAAGCCCACCGCTAGCCGATATAGTCCTCCTTGGGTTTTCTTTTTTGGGTTTCCCCTCAAGATTTTTAAAACGCGTCTACTATGAGAGATTTCTACACCCTTACAAGGAATGTTTCATTCTCTTCTCCAACCGATGTGGGTATTCATAATCCACCCCCCTAGGGTGCCAGCGTCCTCGCTGGCACACAGCTCGGTGTCTGGCTCTAATACTATTTGTAACAGCACAAGTCCACTGTTAGCAGATATGGTCCTCTTTGAGCTTTCCCTTTCGGGCTTCCCCTCAAAGTTTTTAAAACGCGTTTACTAGAGAGAAGTTTCCACACCCTTTTATAAGGAATGTTTCGTTCTTCTCTCCAACCGATGTGGGATTTTACAGTTCACCCTCCTTGGGGGCCAGCGTCCTCGCTGACACACCGCTCGGTGTCTGGCTCTGATACCATTTGTAACCGCTTAAGCCCACCGCTAGCAGATATTGTCCTCTTTGGGCTTTCTCTTTCGGGCTTTCTCTCAAAATTTTAAAACGCATCTGCTAGGGAGAGGTTTCCACACCCATATAAGGAATGTTTCGTTCTCCTTTCCAACCGATATGGGATCTCACAGTAAATCCCTCCCAGTCTCCCTCTTTTTAATAATGCTAAGAACCCTTCTTACCTGCTGCTTTTCATTAAGCGATTTCTGTGGTTTTTCTTCTGATTCAGGCTCGCGTAGATTCGATAATGCAAGAGCTGTATCCTGATATACAGAGTATATAATTTAAGATACAAAATTTCTATATACTAAAATTGTTCTTTTGTTGTCATAAAAATTAATTTCCCTTACCGATGATACTTTGACCTCTCCGTGCGAAATATTTCCATTCTCTGGTGTCCTCTGAAGTTTCAACCAAAAATTGGTGGTATGTATCAAAGACAATATCTTACTTAAAAGACCAGAGGATCATATGAACACCATAATATACCTGAATAATCATCGACTTCGGTCTTGCAGATAAAGCTTTTCCCGTCGGTGACATAGTCAAGGCTTGTTGACGAAGTACCTGGTTCTCTGATTCCGAATTT